AAGATCAGGGTGCAGAAGGCTCTATTAACATGAAATCTATGAGAATATGATTTTTTCCATGAATACATTTTAAGGGAAGGCAAAATTATATTGTAATAAATGTCTTTCAAAGTATATTCTGGGCATGAAAATGACTGTGTCTTCTCTTATATCCGTGTTCCTTTTGTGTGATTTTATGCCCAAAGCAATGAAGTGAAACTCCAAACATTGCTGCTGCATTAATATATACTGCCCATGGAGAAAAGCAAGAAGCGAGTGAATTGCAGTAGGTTTGGCAGGGGTGGGGGGGGTAGGGGAGTGGGGATGAGGGAGGCTGACAGTAGTGATTAAAGAAACAAGTTTCTTACAAGCAGACATTCATGTTGCTAAAGGATGTTCATAAATTGTTTCCATGTAACTGAGCAAGTAGGAGACTCTGGAGACGGCAAGAAACAAGAATCCAGGCGATGCAGATATTGTCACTCACCCCGCCAGCATCTTTGTGCTTAGTAATAGGGCTATTGGGATAAAATATAATGCACCATTATTGTTCCTGGCTAGCTGAAAGTATTTAGCAGAGCTAGAAGGAACGGATCAGCATTTTATCAAGGGTACAAGCAGTACCTGCTGGGGTGAGGGGAGTGTTCAAATGCATGGCACTGCAGCATGTTCTAATTGTAATGTCAAGACAAGTATACTTTTAGGCAATGGGAAAGTGGAACATTCTGTCCTCTTTTGTACATCGCAAATGTTCTTATCTGCAGCCTTGCAGGAATATTAAAAAAAGAAGTTTGTGACAAATACCATGCCCCTCTCCCCAACTCAAGAAACATTTTCTTCTGTTTGTAAGGGAATTAGCAGAACTACTTCCTCAACAGCTTATCATGACCAATGGCCAAATTCTTTGTCAGGCAAAAGAAGATTAATGGTTGTTTGATGTTCCTCGATGGCTAGTGAATGTCTCTTTATGAGAGGTGATTGTCACAAGATGGTTTCTTGATATGGAGGCCTCTCTGGAATGTTCTGAACACAGGAAGCTATTAGCTTTCAGAAGATTCCATGTCAAGTTTATGGAAGGTCCATTTCTTGAGCCAGACCATGATCCCAGAATACAGAGACTAGGCCATCTTGGAACATACAATAGGCAGGTGTGGCGTGGTAGGGGATTATGGAAGGAAGGACATCAGTTTGCATATAGCTGTAAGCCTGCTGTCTGAAAAGCAGTCTTTAGTCTAGGTTTTTATTTTGAAGAGTCTCAGGCCTCTCGGGACAACACCTCTGACTGAGGGGAGAGCTTTGGAAACCGTGTGTGTTTGGGAGAGAGAAAAGCAATGAAAGGAAGCAGTAGCTTTGGAAAAGACCCTTTAGGGGCTGCCTCTCTGGGAGATCCGAGGTAGCCTGCAGGACAGTGGAATAGCTGCCTGTAGTAAAAAGAAATTCTCAAGATAACAAACTGGCAAGGAGCTGTATCAGTGCCCCCGCCCACCAAAAAATTACTTTACCAAATTAGCCACATTATTTGTCTAAACATTACTGCTAAAATGAAATTAACTACTGTTCATTTAGATGGGAATGCTTTGATTTCATCGATTAAATGCTCCAAGTAATTTAATGGTGCAAATAATAAAGTACATAAATCAGTTATGCACTATAAGCAGTAGGTCAATGTACACTGTATGCATAAATCAGTAACATGCTATAATACATTGACTTACCTTAACCTTAACCCTGGATTACTAACCCTGACTAAAACTTACATTACTAACGCATCATATTCTTTTATGACCTTTTTTTTTAATACTTATTTTCCTGTTCCTATTTATTTTGAAAAAATTACATGATCTACTTTGGCATAATATGGAGATGCAGGATTAAAAGAAACATCTGGTCTAATGTGTTTAAACAGTATTTTATTACTTATAAATCTATGTATATGAACCAGTTAAAATTTCACTTTTCTTGCTTTGACTGAAGCAAATTTGCTATGGCATCTACAATAATTTGTGAAACCACTTCATGTTTGATTGATAATAAGGCAAGGCTGGTCAATCTTTCTTGGTTCATAGTACAACAGAGATCATTCTTTATCAACTTGAGCTTGCTAAAGCTGCGTTCGCAAGATGCCACAGTCATTGGTAAGGTTACATAAACTTGAAGTGCAGTCTTGATGTTTGGCTAAATTTCATCCAGAGAGTACTCTTATATACACTTGTTTGATGCAACTCAGTATTCTTCCCCATCTTTGAAGAAGGCAGAACAAAATGTGAAGTCTATTTGTCTGATCAAATCTTGTGCTCCAAAAGCTGTTCCATTGCTATAATTTCTGTGATCTGCCATGTCATGCAGTACTGAAAAAACACAATTTACTGACTTTCAAAAAGCACTAATTGCTCTCTGCTTGGATGACCACCTCGTATCACTGTGACCTTTTAAAGAAACTCCAAGTGTGTCCATTAAAACTCGCTATTTTCCTGTGGAACCACTGAAAAAAATTGAAGAGTTGTTGTACAGTTCCCAAAAAATTACAATCATTGCTCAAACATTTGCAGCCTGGTATCCAACAAGATTTAAACTGTGGGCAGCACAGGGTATGTATCTCACCAAATCATAAACCTGAGATAATCTTGCTTGTTTGCCATTGTATTTTCCAGCCATGCTGCTGCCATTATCATACGCTTGACTATGGCAGCCATTAATTTTCAAACCGTCTGCCTGCAGTTTTAATAAATTATCATTTGAAATGCCCTTTCCTGTTTTTTCATTTGTGTTTACAAAATCATAACCATATAACTTGGCTCATCTGCTCCATCTAAGCACTATTTGGGGTGCAGTTGAAGATGATAGAAAAATATTTTGCTGCTTTAATTTTCCCCAATATCTCTCATCCTTTGCTTTCCCTGCTATCAACTCAATCAACTCATTTTCATATTTTTTTTGGGGGGGGATAACACAGAACTTATTTACTTGCATTCACATAGGTCATGTGAGCTGCTAGCTGAGGGCTTATCAATTCCAAGGTACTGAGGAACAGTGCTTTCTTTTCTGGGGGGACGCAGGGAGACGCATACCCCTAAACATTTTGTGAATCTAAGTTTGGCCTCATTGAGGGGCAGCATTTCAATAGGAATAGGAAAATGAGAGTACCCCAAACATATTTTTTTAGGGGGGGGGGAAACATTGCTGAGGAATATACCAGGCTCCCATGAAATTTCCCTCCAATTGCCTCCATGAAGTACCAAGTTGTCTTGGGCACAAAAAATGATAAAATTGACAGAAACTTTTAGAATGTTTTGCCATTTCTCAGTCTCTTCTTAAAGGCTGTTTTTAGCATGCAGAGTCTTTCGAAGTCTTTCCACGTTGTCTATCAATGTCTGTGATGAGATGCATTTTAATGAATTTGTACAGAGGGATTCAAGTTTTTCCAATACTGAAAGCCTTTCTCAAAGTCAGAAAATGTTGTGAGTTTTGGTCTCTTGAAGAAAAACAAAACACAATGGGAAACAAAAAAAGGGAGCATTTTTAGATTGGCTAAAGGATTGAACATTCAGTGCAGGAATACACATTTCCCCCAGAGCTGCACCCGTTACAAACAATGCTACAGATTTCCTTCAGATGGCTGTATACTGCGCAGTCTAGGCAATGCCACTGGGGAAGATAGTAGTCACAGCCACAGAGAGACTGGGTATGTATTGAACAGTGCCAGGAACAGGGAAGACAGAGGAGAGCCGATGTCACTCAGAAGGATCATAGATCCAGAATAAGAGCAAGCAGCAAAACAGATTGCCAGCCCCCTGCAAACTGGAAATGATCCCCAAAAGAGGGACTTCAAACCTGCTGCTTCATGTTCCTTCATGGCAGTGAAGGTTTACTATAAGGAAAGAGCCATAGGTGACCAACCTCTGTCCCTACATACTAGAAAAAGAACCCAGAAATGAGACTTATAAGGGCACAGTGGTATTTAGCAAACTGGTACCTCTGTGTAGAAAGCTTTGTCCTGTCTCGTACAGGACTGCCAAGTGATGCCAAGTTAGCTGCTAAATCTAGAGAAATGGCAGGATGTCTGACAGGCCTTAGACCAGGCATAGGCAAACTCGGCCCTCCAGATGTTTTGGGACTACAACTCCCATGAACTCAGCTAACAGGACAAGTGGTCAGGGATGATGGGAATTGTAGTCCCATAACATCTGGACGGCTGAATTTGCCTATGCCTGCCTTAAACCTTGAAGAATTATTAAATTGTGCTTTAGATTTTGATTACGTATATAAGGCTGAAAGCCTGCATTCAATTGTGGCTGTTGGAATAATTTGATATGAAGGGCTGAAGTTTATATGTGTTTATATGTGGGGAGGAAAGGCAGCATTTTTATTCCCTGTGTTGCTTGTTTTATTTTTCCATTCGTTTTTGCTGGCAAGTATTGGTTTTGGGGTAAAATATTTTGCAAGGTGCAGAAATTTTTAGTTTTATCCATGATGAAGCAGAGGAAGCTGTCTTATGCTGAGTCAGGTCCACTAGTCCATCAAGTAGTGCAATATTGTCTACATGCACTGGCAGTGGATCTCCAGGGTTCCAGATAGGGAACACTCCCAATCCTGAATAGGGACACCAGGGGAGGAATTAAAACGTCACACTGGAAATTACTAGATTTTTTTTGCTGAAGAGCTTTCCTTGTAGCAATGAGTTTTCCTTAAGTGAACGACAGACATTTCTTCTGTAGATATTGTATCAGCCTCTTTTTCTTTTATATACACATGTGTCTCAAAGTATTTTTATCCATCTCCTGTAAATTCTTCTCCCTTCACATTCAGCTCATACTTATTCTCCTCACCACCACTATGCCAGTTTCTTTCCTCACTCCCTCCTACATTCACTTCTTTCTCCTACAACATCTTTCCTCTTATTCCTTTTTCAATTCCCTGTCTGTTTGGTTTGTTGTTGCCAAATTCCATACATTTAAGAATCTTAGAGTTGGAAGGGACAATGACCATCATCTAGTCCAACCCCCTTCAATGCAGGGATCTTTCATCTAACCTGGGGCTCGAACCCACAACCCTGAGATTAAAAGAGTCTCATGCTCTACAGACTGAGCTATCCCTCACCTTTTATTTCACTTTCTAGTTTCCTCCATCACCTCATGCGGCCATTTCCCCTCAGAGGAGGGACACACACAAAGTCAAACCTTGTTGTCCCCCAGCCACTGTTACTTAGCATGGGAGAAGTTGCAGGCGCTGGCATTGGTCTAGCTAAAGGGCTATGGAGCAGCGAGGGGGCAAGTGACAGGCAGATGAGGAGGCCTTGAGCAAAATGTGGCACTGAGGCCCACCTGAAAGTGGACCAAGGACCACTGGAAGGCCACACTCTTTGAGAAACACTGTTCCAGACCAAAGGAATCATCAATGGCAAAAGTGAACAAGGAGTGGAGTCAGGGTCAAATTTTGCACAGCTAAGAAAGAAAGAAAGAAAGAAAGAAAGATTCATTTTTATTACAGAGTTCCCGCTTAATGTCTGGAAATGTTATCTCCTTGTATCACTTATGGTCAATCTGAAAAACTCCCCCAAAGTTTTGGCATTTCACCAATATTCTAATTCCTGGTTGTGCTCGTTAGCACTAAATAAAACTGGAGTAGGTTAAGTGTCTCAGTGAAGGCGCTTGTTGAGAAAGGAAGGTGGTGCCAAAAATGTTGACACGATTTTGTAAAAAGATGCCAGGCATTTAGCAGATTCTGTAATTGGTAGCTCTCTTAGACTTACATGCAACAACCCACACACAGAAAGAGGATACTGCAAAACAGTAAAGACCTAATGGGAAAGAATTTTCAAACCACCTAATAATACCTTTTCTGTTTCCCTGAAATGACAGGCAGGAAGATTGCAGAACATGCCCTGCTATTGATTCAGCTTCTCCTGTGTTGTCAGACTTGATTATCTCAATTTCTCCCAAGGTTTGACTTGATGGAGAAGGAATTTGGCTCATTAATACACATCTTTCGATCAGGCACTGCGGGGAGCAGGTGGAGAACAGCAAAATCAGCAACACCCAAATGCAGGAGAACTCTGTGTGGTTCTAGAACTAAAATCAAAAAGGTTTATCCATGGAGATGGAGTGCTACAGCTAATCCAGTGATGGACTATTAATAAGTCTGGCTAAGGGAGGAAAAGTGAGGCTTTCCTTCCATCAGGCTTGGAGATAAAGTCAGGACGGCACGCTGCAGCCTGCCCTTTCTGTGGGCTACACCCTTTATTTAAGCCAGTGACGCTGAAATGTCCTTCATCTCAGGTAAGCTGGGTGTGGCAGATAGAATACTGGCAAGCTTCCATTCACTGCAGCCTTTAAGCAGGGAGAGAACTATGAGTGATCTTGCCTTATTGACATGCCTCATCCTCATAGTCATCAGCAACCTCCCCTTTAATTTTTCAGGCCATCAGAACAGGATGAAATCAGGCAGGAGAAATTCACAATTCCTGAGGCCCTTCCTCCTATAAAGATAGATGTCCATGGTCCACTGGCTATAGTAATGAATGAAGAGTTTACACGCTGTATGAAAACAACATAAATGTCACTGTTCTCTCTTCTTGCAAGCATGCTGCCAAGTTAACGCCACAGATACTTCGTTGTCATCATGAGTGGTATAGTTGTAGACCAGTCCAGGTGTGTGAAAACCAGTCTATCCATCAGTCAACCTCCTTATTATGGTCAATCATTAGTATTAAAGAGAAAACAAACTTTGCAGAAATATGTAAAATAATACCAAACCAAACAAAATGGAGAACCATGAAAATGAAATTAGTAGGGACTGTATTGTATCATAAAACACCAGGCATAGAAAACAAAATTATAACTCTGCCAAAATCAGTCCCTGGTGAGCTTTACCTGCAGCAGCACAATATTTAGCCACACTGGAAAATGTGGATGCATTCTGATTTAAAAAGAATTTTTTAAAAGCACAAAATGCACCATATCGTCCTGAGAATCTCTGTGAAAAGAGCTCAGTAAAAATCTTACAAAATATCACAATAAAAGGAGCAAAACATAAGAAAACGAAGTATCAGTTCTACTTTTCCAGATTCGTAGGGACGTGTGGGAAGAAGAGATGTCATAAGGCTCCCCCGCCAATTTTCCTCAAATGCTGCAGTCAGTCTAGGCAAGCGTGTGATTGATGCAGTACTACTGCAATAACCTTGCATTCTCCTAAGATGTTGTCAAACATCTTTTCTAGGCACATTTGTATACATTTTCATGGTGCATGGCAGCTTAGATGGTCAGATCACTAATAATCAAATGGGACAGATTCTATAGAGCAAGGGAGATGATCATACTCGTAATATGGCTTATTAGAAACAGCCGAAGCTGCCTTAGACCAATTCCACTGGTTCACCCAGCTCTGTAGTTGTGTACTCTTGACTGGCAGTGGTTTTCGACAGTTTCACGCAGGAGTCCTTTTTAGGCTTACCTGGAGATGCTAGCGATCAAACCCGAGACCTTTTGCATGTAAAGCATGCAATGCATTCTAATTGTAACCTCCTCCCTTTTCATATCCCCTTACCCCTTCTGCTGGTCCCTTTGGCTCAACTTGAAACCACCAACATTTGCTGTACGTTATACAGGGCAGCTCAAGCTGGGGCGAGTATTGCGTAACCCATCGTTCTGCCTTTTTGAGCCAGATTATTATTTGATATCTGCTCAGCCACCAGATCTTGTCACACTGAGTTAGTAGATTTCCCCTCCTAACAAGGCAGAGGCAAGTCACAATGGCGGCAGATCCTTGCACTGAAAATGTACCTTCCCTAATCATGTAGAAAGATGACGCTTCCACTTTTAACTGAAAAATGAGGGGTTCAGAAGCCATGGGTGTAGCCAGGGGGATGAGAAGCAGGAGGGCAGCAGCCCCCACATCAAGTAAATCAATAAAAAATACTTAACTAACTGAGGTTCTGACCCCCCCAACATGAAGCCTTCCCCCCTCCCAACATAAAGCCTGGCTATGCCCATGGAAGACTTTCTTCTGAAGCTGCTTACCTCACCAAGTACTGCCCCTCTCTCCAAGCACTTTTCTCCAGTCCAGCACTGGAGGAGGGAAGCTCCTGGTGCATGGGCAACTCCATGAGGAAGGGGGCAGGGCACCTGTTCCAGAACCGAGCTACCTGTGACGCGATTGGTCAGTTCCCAGAAGCCACGCCTATTGCTCAGTTGGGTTGCCAGTTGTTTCACTAGAATGTGCCACAACATCATCAAAGTGACCTCAGCAAGCATTTCAATTTCAAATATTCTGATCACTTCTACTCTTAGCTAAGTAATTTTGTTTATTTACCTGATTTACGGGGTGGCTGCCTCCCTGCCCTCGGGCCATGCCAATGCCCAGTGCTAGTGTATGTTGTGGGGCGGGCAAGCTGGCAGACTTAAGAAACTGCAGCGGGATGGCTCTGTACTCCTCACCTGTGTGTCTCATTTGTTTAAAAATATATACCCTCTTACTTTATGGCTGGGAGAAATCTGTGCTTAAAAATGTGGATCACCTGCCCTCTAGTTTGGCCTTGAGAATGCTCTGAAATGCAGTCTGATTTTCACATTTGGTACCTTAGTTCAATAAAAAACCATTAAATCTCTCTCTCTCTCTCTCTCTCTCTCTCTCTCTCTGTGTGTGTGTGTTTGAGTGTGTGTGTGTGTGTGTGTGTGTGTGTGTGTGTGTGTGGATTCAGGTGGAAATGGGAAGAAAGCAAACTGTTAATATAACTTTCCTGACTGTAACCTTGTCCTTTATGCATTCTAGCTATTGAATGATTATTTATTCCTATGGTAAAACTCTTTAACACTGAAATACTGCTAGGCAGAAAATGGAATTGATGGTAGCTGTACAAAGAACTGCTTTGCACTGGCTCGTGAGTGGAGGTGGAGGCTTGGCTTAGGAGTCTGCACTACGTGAATGCAATGATCTGGCTTTTCAGTGTGAAAAATTGGGTAATTCGACAATGGAGCGAGTGGGAAGCTTCTGGCTAGGTCATTCTGACTTGCAATGACCCTTATCTTCCATGAGGGCAGTATGAGGAGAGGTGGAAAGATAATTAATACAGACCTGCTGAGGGTTTCTTTCTTTCATCCATTAATGCTTTGCAGCCTGCAGAGATGAAATGACCCAGGTGTCTCTTGCCTGAGCCTTTGAGGGCACAGTTGATGTTCCAAATGAATGTTTAATTATCTGGATATAAATTTAATTGACATAAGCTTAAGCAGCCCTGATGTTGTGAAAAAGACTTAATAAAAATTAATCTTGCAGCAGCCTCACTTGCTCACATGTTGCCTAAACAGTTACCTGGCTCAAAATGGTAATACAAACTTGTATGTTAAAATGAGCTGTTTGGAAAAGTGATGTTCTTTGGGGCCAGACTGCTAGTTACACATTGCATTTTTTTTGGTCCCGATTTATTTGTTATTGAAAAGATACCTTGGGGACTACCATAGAGAGTACCAAAAGAGAGACTGTATAATCCTTTCCTTTACTGCTAGTAGTCTGCTCAAAGTTATCCCTCAAGCTGTTTCTCCACTCCCTTGGCAAAAGACATGGAGACCACACAAGCTGCCTTCTGTTCATACACAAAATATGCCCTTTTGACAGGATTTGAAGAATTTGTAAGTGGAAAGAACTATTGGGAAAAGTGTTTCCAAGATATTTCCTTCTGCAGAGGAAATATTTGGGGTCATTAAGAGTCAAGATGGCTTCAGTACTGCTCTCCTATACTATTTCAAACATGTGGTTTGTGTATGTGTTTTTCCCTTGTGCGCTCATGAACATTCATTTTATTTATGACCTTAGATGTCTTATAACAATTCCCCTCTCTGGGGCTATAATTTTATCTAAAATTGCCCCCCCCCCCAACAACCTGGTATCCACCCTTCCTTAGTATAAAACAAGAGAAATAGGCAAAGGTAATGGACAAATGTAAGAGTTGGGTGTTGTAAGTGAATCTGATACTGTCAATCCACATGGGAATTGTGCCAATCTCTTTTGTGATTGCTAACAGCCAAATGGGCTAGCAGGACCAGCGTAACTGGAACAGGAAATGTGACACGCAGTCAGTGGCTTCAACTTCAAAGCTCTGTGCTAGTAGGTATCTTTTGTACAAGGTACTTCCTGTTTGGTATTAATGTTGGCTGGGGGAAGCACTCCGTGACACGTTGCTTCATCTCATAGCCTTATTCAATATTTAAATTAAAAACTTAGTTAGAACCAAACCTGGATTTCCTCTTTGTCAGCTTCAATATATTTTTACAAAAGTTGGGTGCCATCTCCACTCTCTGCTGAGCAATAGAAAGATCTTTCCAAAACTTATCGACTCCTCCTTGACTGGACAGTCAAGGAGGAGGAGGTAACAGTGGCAATGGTGAGGTGGTCCCAGGATTTTGGCCATTCAATAACCATGGCCCAATGGGAAAATTTATGGAAGATCAATTGGAAATTCACAAATTGTTACACAATTAGAGAGAACTTTCAAAAAATGCAACATCGATGGTATCTAACACCATGGAAACTTTCAAAAATGTATAAAAATGTGTCAAGTAATTGTTGGAGATGCGAAGACTCAGGAACATTCTACCATATGTGGTGGATATGTAGGAAAATACAGGTATTCTGGGAGAATATCCATGCAGAACTGCAAAAAATGCTAAAGATCTCTTTCAATAAAAAACCAGAGGCCTACCTCCTGGGAATAACAGATTTGGATATTCCACAAAAGAGGAAGGGTATCTTTTTATATGCGACGGCGGCAGCAAGAGTTTTGATCGCAGCAAAGTGGAAGAGTAATGAAATCCCCTTTATACAAGATTGGATTCAAAAGCTGACAGAATATGCCAAATTAGATGGTTTATCAGAAAAAATAAAGAATAAATCAAAACAGGAATTTGTTTCAAAATGGGAGGTTTTCAAAGAATATCTGAAAAATAAATATAGTAGTTTAAATTCAGTTGCAGCATTCGAGTAACTTCAGTAATAGTTGCAAGGT